GCTCAGACATGGCCCAGATCCCACACCTTAACCCAAGGCATCAGAGTGGTCAGTCAATGAAGACAGAGACCAAGGCTTACAGGAGTATAGGGGAGGGGGCACTTTCAGGGCTTCCTGGAGGAGATGGCATGTAAAGGGCCTTAAAGGGTAACAGGGCTTCAGGCAGGGGTCCTGAGGCAGAGGACATTGGAGTAGAAGGAACAGCATGAGAAAAGGTACAAAGACACTCAACCTCAAAATATTTGGCATGCCCAGGGCCCTTCTCCCTGAACTCTCTGGAGATGACCGTGGCTATGTCCAGTGGCAGTCTCTAGCCCCTTCCACTCCTCCCACTTGAGACTCAAAGTTCCTCCTGGTTCCTGGATGTCTCTGCTAGATATCTAACGGAAGTAGAATTACTACTTCCCACCCACAGCCCCCAATCCTCCTGCTGCCTCTCCATCTTTGTAACGGATGTCTCCAACCATCTACAGCACAGCCAGTCTGAGAGCAAACCCAGAAGTGCTTCGCTCACCATGTCCAGTGCCACTGCAAGCCCTCAGGCCCTGGCACAGGTCCATCATCCCACACTTGAGTGCCCCCGCCTCCTCATTTGCTGCCCCTTCTCCTCAAAGCAAAGAGAGTGACCTTTAATAATTATGCCCTGCTCTCCCCTACATTCCCCTCCCCGCTAAAAACCCTCCTATAGATTTGCCTTCTGCTCAGAATGAAAAAGCCACACCACCCCTTGGCCTGCAAGGCCTCTTAACTTGTCTCCCCATTTGCTCCCTCTTGCTGCACTCCAGCCCCCAAATCCCACAAACCCCTATTCCAGGCCTGCACTCACTACTCTGCTACTGTGGGTGCTCTCTCCTCAGATGGTATTCATGGTGCCATCATGCCTTAAAGTGTCCCTTGTTCCCTGAGCATCTGACGCAGTCATTCTCCGTCTTCAGCCTGTTTGAATTCTCTGCATAGCAGCGATCACTGTCAGATACTTTCATTCCTTGCTTATTGTCTTCTCCACTAGGATGTGAGCTTGGGGTGGGGAGTGGCAGAGGCATTTCTCTGTCTCATTTCCCAAGACATGCCCAGCAAGCTCCTGGAACAGTGCCCAGAATGTTGTAGACTCAGGCTCTACTGTTGAATGAATGGAGGGTGGACACTGTGGGCTGTGTCTGGGGAGGTGTGCGGGCTCGCTGTGGCTGGACAGAGGGCCAGTGTCAGGGAACAGTGATGGGGGGAAGAGACCAGGAGGATAGGCATGGCAGGGGACAAGCCCAGTAGGCTTTGACTACCAAGCTCAGGGTTGTGAGAACCACAGAAATTCTGTTTTTGTGTTATCAGGAGCATAAGACTGTTTTCCATTTTAGAAAGATGGCTCTGGTTACAGGTAGGAGACAAATTGAAGGGGCCCAAGTGAGCGGCAGGCAGTGGCACCCAGAGCTGGCCTCTGCCCCTCCATTGGTCTTTCTGCCCCAAATCTCCCCTTTCTAGCTGACCCTGGCACCCCGATTCCTGCCCAACACTCTGATCAGTGTGGACTTCGCTGCCAACTATCTCACCAAGGTCTACGGGCTTACCTTTGGCCAGAAGCCAAATTTGAGGTCAGAGGTCAGAGGGGGCCCTGGGCTCGGGCTGGGGAAGTGGGAGGAGCTGAGGCAGAGGCTGCCACCCTGAGTGAGGCAGAGAGGACTCAGACAGGCCCTGGAGGAAGGCCATGCTGTGCAGTGCCAGCATGATGCCCCAGCTCAGGACTGCCGTGAGGGATACCCCAGGCTACAAGGGCAAAGTGTCTGAGGGCCGAGACCTAAAAGATGAAGAGAAATCAGTCCAGGAGGTGAGGACAGAGGGTGATGTCTGTGGGGTTATGGGAACTAGATGAGGGTGGATCCTTCCTTCCCCAGCACCTGGGGAAAAAGCATCTTCTAACGGGCAGAGCCATTCCTTGCTGAGAGCTGCTTTGGGAAGAGTGAGGCACCACAGTACAGGTGTATGAGAAGGGCAGGGTGGTGCTGTAGAGGACTATCCCTAGTGTTGCTTCTGTCCCTGAATCTGTCACCTTTCTGTGGAGCCAATGTCACTGTGTGTGGTCCCATCCCATAGACGAGAAGGCTAAGGCCCAAGAGAGGCACACAGCAAGAATGAGCTAAATCTTCTATGCATTTCTTTTGCTCCTTGTCTTCTCTCCCTCTGGTATGTTAGCTCCATGAAGGCAGGGTCTTGTCGATTGTGCCCACTGCTATATCTTCAGTCTATAACAGTCCTGGAATGTAGGGGCACTCACTCTATTTGCCAAATGAATGAGCTGTTACCTCCTCCGAGCCAGGCCCTGTGTTGGGTACCAGGAATAGTCCCCATCTTCAGAAAGTCCCATGGAACTCAGCACCAGCTGTGTGGGATTGACAGGCAGGGACTCCAGGGCTATGACTGTCAGGGAATGATTGAGAACCTTGAAGGGCATGGAGGAACATGGACTGGGGGTCAGGAAATCCTATTTCTGCCACTAGCTTGTGGGGCAACCTCTGGTGAATCCGTGGTCCCTTTGGCCGCGTAGGGGGATCTGGATTGGGAGAGGGGTCTGAGGTTCTTCAGATGGGAGGAGGGTGTCCTGGGCCCCACGCTGAACCTGAGCAACGTTTAGAGGCTCACCAGGTGAGCTGGGGCTGAGGGTAGTGGGGCCTGGGTGGGTGAGGACCTGTGCCTCGTCCCTCAGGTCTGTGTACCTGCACAACAACAAGCTGGCGGACGCTGGGCTACCGGACAACATGTTCAACGGTTCCAGCAACGTCGAGATCCTCATCTTGTCCAGCAACTTCCTACGCCATGTGCCCAAGCACCTGCCGCCCGCCCTCTACAAGCTGCACCTCAAGGTGGGAGGAAGTGGGCAGGGAGGGTCACCCCCAGAGCAGAGACCTGCAGTGGGGGAAGAACCCAGGCCCACATGGGCACAGTGGTAAGGCTATGGGACCTTGGGCACATGCCAGAAGGCACAGTGTCCACTGCAGAGAAGCAGCCAGAAGCTTGGACACCTAGCTGTCAGTCCCAGGCCTGGGGTGCTCCAGGCCTGGGCCCACTCTCTGTGACTTCCCCGGATACCTCTTCATACCTCCTCCCAAGATTCTGCCCTTGCCCCTTGGCTATCCCTCACATTCCATTCCCCACTGTCCCACTCCCCAGAACAACAAGCTGGAAAAGATCCCACCAGGTGCCTTCAGTGAGCTGAGCAACCTTCGGGAGCTGTACCTGCAGAACAACTACCTGACTGATGAGGGCCTGGACAACGAGACCTTCTGGTGAGCCCCAGCCTGGGCCCTCAGGGGGACCAGGTAACCAGGGAAGTTCCTCCCAGGGCCCACTTAGCAAGCCCTCGCACACACATCCTTCAGCCAGTTCCCTGGAGAAGGACTTCGAGTCTCATGATGCAGCTGACATTTCTGTCCCCAAGAACAAGTGTTATGAATGCGTAAGGCATGTCACAATTCCACTGAGGCAGGAAAGCATTTGCAGAGGCTGGCTTATTGTTACAAAATAGAAACTCAAGCATTCTTGTTGAGGCAAATATATTTCCTTCTTTTTAGCACTCAGAGTAGCCACAAAAGGCTTTGAACAATTGGTCAATCTTCAGATAAACCCATATATGTCAGAAACCATGCTAGAGCCTTCCTATACCAATCTCATTGAATAACCCAAAGAGAGGCTTGGAGGAGACTGAAGTCCCCTAGTCAGCAATTGGCAGAGCTGGGATGAGTTAGAGGCAGGTCCCCTGCCATCTCCCTTGGGAATAATGGTGGCAACAAGCACCATGTGGGTTCCTGCCAAACGTCCTTATTTACCTCCTCTTCCCCCTAGGAAGCTCTCCAGCCTGGAATACCTGGATCTTTCCAGCAACAACCTGTCTCGGGTCCCGGCGGGGCTGCCACGCAGCCTGGTGCTGCTGCACCTGGAGAAGAACGCCATCCGGAGCGTGGATGCAGAAGTGCTGACCCCTATCCGCAGCCTCGAGTACCTGCTGTTGCACAGCAACCAGCTGCGCGCGCATGGCATCCACCCGCGGGCCTTCCAGGGCCTCAAGCGGCTTCACACGGTTCACCTGTACAACAACGCTCTGGAGTGCGTGCCCAGCAGCCTACCCCGCCGCGTGCGCACCCTCATGATCCTTCACAACCAGATCACCGGCATCGGCCGGGACGACTTCGCCACCACCTACTTCCTGGAGGAGCTCAACCTCAGCTACAACCGCATCACCAGCCCACAGGTGCACCGAGACGCCTTCCGCAAGCTGCGCCTGCTGCGCTCGCTGGATCTGTCCGGCAACCGACTGCACACGCTGCCGCCGGGGCTGCCCCGCAACGTGCACGTGCTGAAGGTCAAGCGCAATGAGCTGGCTGCCCTGGCACGCGGGGCTCTGGCCGGCATGGCCCAGCTGCGTGAGCTCTACCTCACCGGCAACCGGCTACGCAGCCGGGCCCTGGGCCCTCGTGCCTGGGCTGACCTCTCCCATCTGCAGGTAAAGGGGAGTGGGGCTGGGCCGTGCCCATGTGATATGGCTGCCCTGAGCCAACCATCTGCTGGGCCCTGGGGGGAGGGATGAGCAGGAAAGGAAGCCTGGGCTGTGAGCGAGGTCCCTGCTGGGGTGGCTGGGTCTTAGGGTAGGGGTCTGGGCCATGCGGAGGGTATGGCAGGCCTGCCTGGGTCCAGGAGTGAAGGGTAGAGAACAGCTGGTATGACCAGGCTGAGATCACCACCTGCAGGCACAGGCTTGAGGAGGGCTGTGGGGGTAATGGGAGGTCATGGCTGCTGGTAGGGAAGGCCCATGGTTCAGAATGATTGAGGAACAGGGTCAGGGGCAGTGCATGTCGCAGGAGAGTCAAGCTGACCCACCCACAGGCACAGGAATATGTGCCTAGAAAAGACTGGGTTTGGGGGAGGGGAGGACAGCAAGGCGGGTGGTCTACAGAGGGCTGGAGGCACCTGAAGCATTCAGGGGCTGGTCAGTGGATGTAGCTGGTGTGGCTCCTGTGGCCGTGGTCAGATTCAGGCAGGATGTCGCTGTATGAACTGAGCTTCTTACAATAAAACCTTCTGACTCAATGAAGGGCTGAGAGGAACTTTATTAGAGAAACGGGAAGCAGGGCCGAGGTGCTGCCAGGCCACTCTGCTGTCCTACCAGGCCCATCAGGGAGCCTCAGGGCCTCTGCCTTGCTGTGTTCTCTACTCCCAGACCTCCTCAGGACTTGCTCCTCCCTCTTTCTTAGGGATCGGCTCAAATGTCACCTCCTTGGGAGGTCTTCCCTTAGCCTACCACCTTCCTCTGCTTTGTTTTTCTTCATAATCCTCATTCCTTCCGAACATTAGGACATCTGTTTGCTTGTTGCCTGCTCTTTCCGCTAGAATAAGGTCAGGCATTTTAAGTCAATTGCGTTCACTGCTGGGCCCAGGGCCCTGGTCTGATAAAGGGGAGCTTGTGGGAAGAGCTGTCAGGATGGGGATGTCTGAGTGGGGGGCAGGGAGGGGAGGCAGGGCCCTGAGGGTGGAGCTGGGTGGGAGCTGGGGAAGGCAGCTGGCCCTGCAGGAGCCCTGTTACCTGGGGCTCTCCGCATCCAGACCACCCTGCTGAGTGCCAGACACCAGGATTTAACCACTGTGCCAGTCTCCCTTGGGTGTCCCTCAGGAACCTGTTCTCAAGGGTCCCAAACCCCATTGTCCTTTCCTCCACACCTCCTCCTCCTACTGCATTTTCAAACTCGCTGAAGGCGGTGACATCTACCCAGGTGCCCACAGGAAACCTGGAAGCAGCCCTTGACATCCCTTTTCACACCATCTGCCCCGCAATGTCCATTGTTACTGCAACCTGCCAGTTCTACTGTCTCATCTCGATCTGTACACTTTTCACCATCCCTGCCGTCTATACCCCAAGCCAAGCCACGCCACCCCCATTTCTTGCCTGGACCTTCCTAGGAACTCTCCATTCCTATACTCCCTATGTAATCAGAGGGTGTCTTGAAAAACACATGCTCAGCTTATGCTCCTGTCCAGCCACTCTTCTGTGGCTCCCCATTGCCCTTAGAATCCAGACCAGAATCCTTGCCATTGCCTTCAAGGCCTGCTCTGCCCGTGTTCCCAGCTGAGCTTCTTTTCCCAGGCTCACTAGGCTTTGCTGATACTGGCCCCTCTGCTGGAAGCACTTTTCCACCCTGGTGACATCTGCTCACTCATTCATTCCACAAGCCTGTATTGAGCCTCCACCATGTGCAGACATAGTTCTAGAACTAAGGACTCAGCAAGGGATAAGACAGATGGAGGGTCACTGCCCTCAGCTTAGGTGTCCCCTCCTCCAGAAGTCACCAATGATGGGCAGTTAAACACCTCCCTGGGCCTGGATGAATTCAGTCAGGGATGGAGTGTCTGGTGGTGGTGGTGGGGAGGGTTCTTTCTCTCACTGTTGGATCTTTCTACAAGCAGCAGCTGCTCTTGCTGCCTCAGAGCCCCTACCTGCTCTGGCTGCCATCAGTGCCCCTGACCTGAAACTGAGTCAGGCTCCTCTTCCAGCCTGCCTCATCACACAGCCCCCTTCCTCCTCTGTCATTGTCAAATTCTGTGCCCATCTCTCCTGCTAGCCTGGCTTCCTGAAGGTGGAAGCAGCATCTCAGTGGATTCCATATCTCCGGCACCTGTGGGCACAGAGGATGCATGGAATGAAAGAGGAAGTGCTGGAGTTGTGTAGCGGGAACATAGTGGGCAGCAGGGAGCCCTGTGGTAGGGGAGGTGACACGGAGGCTCTCTATGATGTGTGAAGTTTATGCTCCCCTTGAATGTTGAATCTGGATTCATGGGCTCCAGCTTCCAGCCCCAGCCTGCTGGGGTGAGGAAGGGAGCTTAGAGATAATGGAGTTCTACCCATGGCTGCACCAGTGTGTGTTGGGCGAGGGTGTGCTGACAGCCTGAGGAGTAATGAGCTGGCTTTATGCACATCTGGTTTCCTGCCCACTGCAGGTTTGTTCTGCTCCCTGGGAAAAACACCCCATTTTCCTGGCCTTCTCCTTTCTGGACTATAGGCATGTGGTAAATCTGAGACTGGCCAGCCTGGGGCCTGACTGCCATACAGGGTCACTGCCTGCCTTGCACTCTGGCCCCTGCCCATCAGGCCCCCAAGGTCTACAAATAAGTAGCCACACCCATGTGGCCTCGAAGACTAGAGGATCCCTGGCCCCTGCCCTTCTGGGGTCTTTAGTCTAATGGGGGTAGCAGATGTGTTAAGGAAGAAAGACTGTGATATCCACACATCCTGGCTGTGAACCCATGTGGGAAGGTAGAAGGAGCTGGGTAGGACATACATCAATTAAAACGAAGGTTGAAGTTGGGCACATCGGGTTCCAGCCTTGTACAGGCTGTGTGGCCTTGGACAGATCTCTTAACCTCGTTGAGCCTCTGTTTTTCCATCTGGAAAATGGAGATAGTTATAGACCCCACCTCATAAGGTTATGGTGAGATTTAAGTATGTTGGCGGATTGGAGGGGTCTTTGCAATTTGTTAAATGCTTTGACTTTCCTGGTCAACCCTGCAGCTGCTGGACATTGCCGGGAATCAGCTCACAGAAATCCCCGCGGGGCTCCCCGAGTCACTCGAGTACCTGTACCTGCAGAACAACAAGATTAGCACCGTGCCTGCCAATGCCTTCGACTCCACGCCCAATCTCAAGGGGATCTTTCTCAGGTAGGAGGTCCCCTGTGGCCCTGAACATGCCCCTTGGGAAAAATGTGGCCCAGAGACCATATGTGACGCTGTGTCCACAGCTGGCCATGCTGTGCCTGGACCTCAGACCAAAGACAGCAGATGTTCAGGTCCTCACTGGGCTGTGGCAGTTTAGAATGATTCGGGGGACTCAGCTCCCTGTGATGAGGAGCTTCCGTACAGCGGAGCCAGGGTGGCCCTTCCCAACATCCCCTTTCCCACCATCTCAAATCAGAGAGTAGAAGACAGATCAGAGAAAGGCAGAATGCACATTCCCAGGGGCTTTGTGGCCCAGAAGGCCCTAGGCTGGGTGACATTGGGGTGGAGTATGACCTGTGCTCTGGCTCCTGCAAGGGACTGAGGCAGAGATTTGAGGGGGCCCGAGATCAGAGTGCAGCCTCCACTCTTCCACAACCTGTATGTCCCTGGCCCAGCATGGCTCTGGCTTTGCCTATGTGCCATTTCACACCAGGCACTTAGATGACCCCAGACCGGCAGCCCAGAAGTCTCAGGCCTTGGTGTTCCTAAGAGAAGCTGCCCATGTCTTCAACTCCCAAATCACAGTGAGCACATATGCAGGGGAAGCCTTCCCCTTACTTTACAGATGAGTAGCCCAGGGTCAGTCCCTGTCCCCCCAAGGTGTAGCCACACTGGACATCTTAGACTCCCCATGATATGCAGTGCCTCCCAGCCCCCTGCTGTTTGTGCTTGCTGTGCCATCTTCCTGGAGAGCCTGTTCCCTCCCCGTTACCTTCGGGGGTGTGTAAGTGAGGGGACCCTAGGGTTAGGCTCCTGGCACTGACCCCACGTGGGTGACTGTACAGGTTTAACAAGCTGGCTGTGGGCTCTGTGGTGGAAAGTGCCTTCCGGAGGCTGAAGCACCTGCAAGTCTTGGACATAGAAGGCAACTTTGAGTTTGGTGACGTTTCCAAGGACCGGGGCCAGCTGGAAGAGGACGAGGAAGAGGATGAGGAGGACAAGGGGGAAGAGGAAGAGGACAGGCGATAGTGAACAGGTGAGCCCCACCTGACGCAGGTGGGTGGTCTGCGTAGGGGCACACTCACCTCTCCTTGCCAGGTTCCTGAGCCAGTTTAGGTTCTCTCTGTCTGTTCTTCACCCTCTACCTTTGCTTCATCATTCATTTTGCAAACCAATAAGAGCACTTGGTGTGCACCGGGCCCTGCGGGGGTGGTCGGGTATAACAGCAAGCCCGTGGGAGGCCAGCCTGTGCCAGGGGATTCTCTCCAGGGTGATGAGTGCCCTGATTGGACATGTACAGGGGCTGGATGGTGGAAGCAGG